GCTTCACCTACCCCACCCACATTTTTGATGTCGGTACCGGGCCTTGAACTGGTGATCTTCCGATCACAGGCCCACCTTCTCTAACCTCTGCGCCACCACGCCCCTTATTATTTCGGTTTTCTTACTGTAGAAATTCATCAAAGCTGGTTCAGATTCATCTTTTTACACGTCGATGTTCTCCTTAACTTTTCTTAAGACAACATTTGAACGTGATATCTTCATTTGTTGCCACAGTCCTGATCATGTGACCTGTTGGATGTTGTCTCTGGTTCAAGGACAAATGAAAGTCGAGTCTTTATTGAGATCATTTTTCCACGTTCTGATTGTTTCTTCTCAAAACTACTTGTGTTTAGATAACACTAAAACATAAAGATTACCTTTAAACAAGAAGAATACGACTCCTCACTGTGTTTTTAGTGTTACTTTGGTATAGCATGGTCTTTACGTTTATATATTTTAAAATGTTATAACTGGCTCTGAAAGATAAAGTTTTAAACTTCTCATGTGGACTGAAAGAACTGAACGTATTTGGAGCCGACGTGTCGCCGCAGTTTGTCAGTTTTCAAGAAAATCATGTTAGAGGTTTTATTTATTTATTTATTTTTTTATGTGAAAAAAGCAACAAAGAACTCTCAGAATGTTTAATGTGTTTATTTGGAATGTTGATAGTTTTAAACATGGTCTTTTTTTAGAAGTAAAACATGACAAACTGTTAAAAAATGAATGAGAGGATTGAGCGCTAATGATGTTTATTTTTTTATTATTTTCCTTTTTGTCTTTAATTAATTTATGATTGTTCTGAGTTACATAAAAAGTGTTCTAGGAAAAAGATACATATATTTGTATTTAAATAATTATAACATTTAAAAATCAAGCTCAGTTTATGTGTTTTTTCAAGAATTATTGACTGTCAGCCCTGTTTTCACCAAAGCAACGTATTCTTCAGCTTTTTAAAAATATATTCTTCTTGTTCTTTAAATATTCAGCCATAATTCAACTGTTTAGCGTATTTTGACATTTATGGGTTTGTCAGTTTTTCTTTCTTTGCATCTTTTCATGTTTTGTTAAACTAATCTTACATGAAAACAGATAAAAGTCGACTAAACACATTGTTCTCTTTAAATGGGATAACAATAAACAGATCTGTGAGCAGGCGATGTCAAATGTAACTTTTGTCCTTCTGGTGAAGATTCTCAGTCATCCAGGACATGGTGAATTCAAAGATGTTAAAGACAAAAACAGATGTTTGGGGGGGGGGGGGGGGGTTGATGGAAGCCATTTATGTAAAACGAGAGAACCCATCTTTAAACAGAGGAGGAGGTCTCAGCTTTAGGCCTGACACCCAGTCAGTTTCAGTCCTATCAGGAATTTCATCCATGTGATCAGAGGGGCTCCTCTGTGAGTCAGACTAACAAAGACCCTAACGAACCCTACTGTGAGGAGTGAGAGGGCAATCTGCATCTGCATCTAGCTTAGCTCAGCTTTTTAACTCGAACCCCACACTCTGTTCTTTGAACTGAGAAGAGAAACGTCTTCAGTTACAAATAAAGTCCAGTTGATTTTGTCTTGAACTGTTTTGAGTTTTGTCCTCCATGTTTTCAGTCATTAACTGAGTTTGCGGCTCGGTTTCTTGGTTCTTCCGGTTCATCACGGCTACAAACCAGAACCTTGATGTTTGAGTTCAGACAATCAGCTGAGAGCAAAGAGGAGGTGAAGCGTGGACTTTTTGGCAGGGAGCCTGAAGTTTAGAGTTTCTGACTCCATGCTTCTTTCTCTGCTCACAGACGGGGGAGGCTCATAATGACCACTGAGCGTGTGCACGTGTGCACGTGTTTGTGTTTGGGGGGAGGGGATCTTGAAAAGTGTTCCGATGGGAGGAGGGAAATCTTTTTCATGCAGATTTCGGTGGCGTCAGATTCCTCTGCTCACATTTAGTGTTTCAGCTCCTTTTTGGAGACTCAAATAACTTTAGAGCCTTTTTTTATATATATTTGTGTTTTCATTTAGAAACTGCTCCAAGAGCTCGTGTTGTTCCTTACTTTACTTAATCTGTACAAATTTCATCTGTCCAGATTTCTCTGAAGATAAATGGCCAAACATTTTGCTTATTTGCATAACTAAAAAAAGTCCATAAATCATTTAATGCTGAACAGAAGGAGAATAACCATTAATGACAAGTCGAAGAGGCATCTAGAAGAATTTCAAAATAAAATTTTGTTTTTTAGGGCGCTGAGGTTCAGCATCTGTGCTTCTTTTTATCGCTTTAATAATTTATCTGAGATGAGAGTTAAATAATGCGAGTTTAACCTTATTTAAAGTTGGCTGTTCAGTGGAGACGAACACCTTCAAGGTTCAACTGGCCTCCGTCAGTTTTCTGAGGGAAATTTTGATGTGGTAGTTGCTGAGAGTCATTCACAACACACCATACCATTTTATTTATAGAGCATTTAAAACAGCTACAAGGCCAACCAAAGTGCTGTACAGACAGAACAACAGGTAACACACAAAGCAAAATACAAAATGAGGTAAATCAGAATATAGACATAAAAACGATGCAGATAATGACGACAAACCAGTGTGGAACATACAGGATCAAAACACAGATCATCTGGTGTTGAAAGCTACTGAATAGTAGTGGGTTTTTAAACTGGACTTGAAAACAGAGAGGGAGGGGCCTGTCTGACAAGCAGAGGTAACTCGTTCCAAAGTCTTGGTCCTGCTACAGAGAAGGCCCTGTCACCTCTGCGCTTAAGATGAGTTCCTGGAACTGTGAGGAGCAACTGGTCCGCTGACCTCAGGGAGCGTGGTGGGACATACGGTTGTAGCAGATCAGAGAGGTGCAGTTTAAATTTGGGGGGGACACTGTTCAGTGATTTGTAGACATACATGAGTATTTTGAACTGGATTCGAAAGTGAACCGGTAACCAGTGCAGGGAGGCCAAAACTGGTGTAATGTGCTCTCTTTTGCCTGTACTGGTTAAAAATGGGGCTGCTGCATTCTGGACCAGTTGTAGTCATGCAATGGAGGTCTGACTGATACCAAACAGGAGAGAATTGCAGTAATCAAGCTTCGATGTAATGAATGCATGTATTACTGTCTCCAGGTTCTTTTTGGACAATATGTGCTTCAGTTTAGACAGCCGCCTCAGTTGGAAGAAACATGATTTAACAATCATGTTTACGTGATTGTTAAGTTTCAGAGAAGGGTCCATTATCACGCCCAGATTAGAGACTCTTTGTTTTTCTGACAGGGTTAGAGCGGAGAGGTCGATGCAGTGGTTTGTGATCGTGTCGTTGGGAGGGAACAACATGACTTCAGACTTCTTTTCATTGAAACTTAAGAAGTTTAAAGCCATCCAGTCCCTGATGTCAGCCAGGCAGTTGAGCAGAGGTTGAATAGAGCATGTGCCATTGTGTCTTAGGGGGAAGTAAATTTGACAGTCATCGGCGTAGAAGTGAATTGGTATGTTGTGTTTCCGGAAAATAGCACCATGTGGCAGCAGGTGTAAAGAGTTCAGGTGTCTCTTGTAAATGAGTCCCCGAGGCTCATTGGGATCAACCTGTCTAAATAAAGGTTGAATGAATTCAGAGCATGCTGTCTCTTTGTATTGTATGAGCTCACGAATACAATAATTTTCAAGGTTTGACCAAAAGCTAAAAGAAGCTGATTTTGTTCTGAAAGTCTGCAGCGGGCAACATGCATTCCTTCAAGAAACGCCAGGTCTTTATTTCCTGTCTGTCCCTTGGGGCGTCACAATAAAACAAACAAAGAAAAGTTTTAGTTTCTCTTTCAGAGTTCCTGCGATGATGTCAGCAAAATGAGCAGCTCCTGCTCCGAGTGTCACATTTATTTCTCCCCAGGAGATCCTTTTATGGTGCCGCTTCCCTCTGTGTGTGTGTGGGGGGGGGGGCAACAAACCATCCCCCTCCTCCCCCCAAGCTCCACTCACATGCTAACTTTTGGTCCCAGCCGGTTCCCCCCTCGTCCCAAAGAGTATTTACAGGTCAAAAGCTGTTGAGAAAGGTGGAGGTGGGGGTGGGGGTGAAGGTGGGGGGGCAGGAGAGAACAAAAAAACCCAGCACTTGTTTTCCATTAGCGTTAGCCTGTCATGTTAATGAACAGCAGCACATGTTGCCACTTCACCACAACGCTGAATATTCCTGGTTGTTGTTTGTCCTGAGCAGCTGAACGTCCATCAATCATCCACTGTCAGAAACGACACGCAGTCAGACCGTTCACACTCATGATCTGTTCTCAGACCCTTAAAATGAGCTGATAATTCACCCACAAACATTAAAGAGCAGTTGTGTTCCAGTGCCTGAACGTCCAGATGTTAGCCTGCAGCTGCAGAAGCTGCAGCCGAGAGTTTCCAGCCTCTGCTCTGCGGTGGGTCTGAGAAGCATCATAAACATGCAGCTTTACTGGCCTCCTGGGGCCTCCTGGGGCCTCCTGGGGGGCTGCAGGTAGCGGGGAGTCTGAAACTCAACATGTGCGACTTCATGTGGAGCCTCCTCCTGGATGGAGGTCAGGACCTCAGTGACGCCATGACCAGCTCAGATCAAGTGTCTGCATGTTGGTCTGAGGAAACCGACCATTAGAGCTTCCAACCATTAGAGCTTCACACCATTAGAGCTTCTCACCATTAGAGCTTCGCACCATTAGAGCTTCTCACCATTAGAGCTTCACACCATTAGAGCTTC